AAAAGTATTTGAGATATCAACTTTAAACTTCATAGGTTGATAGACCTCATTGAGGAGGAGTGCAGTGCATAAGAATGATAACTTTACCTTGCATAATTTTTGAGTTATTGCCCTTTGTTATTTTTCAAAATTAATTTTTGTCAAGAGCATAACTCAAAAAGCCTTTGAGATATCAACATGAAACTTCATAGGTGCATAGATCTCACTCAGGAGGTGTGCAGTGCATAAGAATGATAACTCTTCCCTGCATTATTTTTGAGTTTTTACCCTTTGTTATTTTTCATACTTAATTTTTCACCTGAGTGGAGCATAACTCAAAAGTGTTTGAGATGTCAACATGAAATAACATTGGTGGATAGATGTTATTGAGGAGGAATGCTGTGCGCAAGAATGATAAATCTTCCCTATATAATTTTTGAGTTATTGCCCTTTGTTCTTTTTCATACTATTTTGTCCGGAGCTTATCTCAAAAAGTATTTGAGGTATCAACTTGAAACTTCATAGGTGGATAGATTTTACTGAGGAGGGGTGCAGCACACAATAATGATAACTTACCCTGCATTATTTTTCAGTTATTGCCCTTTGTTATTTTCAGCCATCAGTATTCACATAGGTTTCAAACCTGTAATCACTTCAGCCATAAGTTTTCATTACCAAAAGACCTCTTAAAATTGAATTATTCTGCTCTACTACATATACATTCTTCCAATGAGCAAACCCATTCGGCTGGGGATGGCCATGTTGACATGGCTCTTGTTTTACAATATATCAATGGTTCATCATCTTTCATCACGTCATTAATATATTGGTACATTTCAATGTGCATTTTAGCCTAAATTTTATGTTCCATAACTGAATTTTCCTATATTCCCTTCTAGTGTCAAGTACATGTTAAACTTACCCCAGATAATCATAGCATTTTAGTAGGATTCTTAACTTTCTATGCAATTTAGCTATTATTGTGTCATACAATATGTAATTTCAGATTCAATTGAGACACGGGCTTGCTCCAATCGAGAATATTAAATCAAGTGATAATACATCTAGCATTCAAAATACACCTTCAATTACTTTATGAATTATTGCATTTAAAGGCCCATTATGCATCAGTATGCTTTTATTTTATTTCTCAAAAGCTTTAATTTGGTGTATTTCTACAGTTTCCAAAAAGTAACTCATTGGCCAAGTACCTGAACCATCATTTTCATCTATTGCTGTTTGACAGTTAGTACAATTATAGTGAATTAGTTTTTTTGTATGAAAGTTAAAATAAGTTACTTTGTTTACATTTAGCATATTATATAACACGCTATTTTATATTTATCGCTACGTTCTTCAGATGATATTTAGTATCTAACATGCTCTAAAATTCAGTGAAATATGTTATACTCATAGTTGTTTGAGTGTATTATGTACATAATAGCATGTTCAGATTTGTACCGTATTTCCTTTGGGGGGAATATGTCCCATATTCGAATGATGGCCCCATCAAATGTATTCATAACTCAGATATGGTGTTTTTAAGGTACTGACAACTTTTGATATTTTTCTGTCATTGTAATTCTTTCATGTTTGTGTGTAGGAAATGAGGAGTAATTTTGCGTTTTTACCCGAAACTAAGCATTTTTAGCTCACCTGTCACAAAGTGACAGGGTTTTGTGACAGGTTGAGCTTTTGTGACCGCTATCGTCCGGCGTCCGTCCGTCGTCCGTCCGTCCGTAAACTTTTACTTTACATGACATCTCCTCATAAACCACTAAGCTAATTTCATCCAAACTTCACAGGAATGTTCCTTTGGTGGTCACCTTTAAAAATTGTTCAAAGAATTTAATTCCATGCAGAACTCTGGTTGCCATGGCAACCGAAAGAAAAAACTTTAGATATCTCCTTTTAAAAAACCCAAAGAGCTAGAGCTTAGATATTTGGCATGAAACATCTTCTAATGAGTGTCTACCAAGTTTGTTCAAATAAAAGCCCTTGGGTCAAAATTGGCCCCGCCCCAGGGGGTCATTGATTTTCCCTATATGCATATAGTAAAAACTTAAAAAATCTTCTTTTAAAGAACTCAAAGAGCTAGAGCTAAGGTATTTAGCATGAAACATGTTCTAATGGGTGTCTACCAAGTTTGTTCAAATAAAAGCCCTGGGGTCAAAATTGGCCCCGCCCCGGGGGTCATTGATTTTCCTTATATGTGTAAAGCAAAAACTTAAAAATTCTTCTTTGAAAAAACCCAAATAGCTAGAGTTTAGATATTAAGCATGAAACATCTTCTAGTGAGTGTCTACAGTTTGTTCAAATAAAAGCCCTAGGGTCAAAATTGGCCCCGCCCCGGGGGTCATTGATTTTCCTTATATGTGTATAGCAAAAACTTAAAAATCTTCTTTGAAAAAACCCAAATAGCTAGAGTTTAGATATTAAACATGAAACATCTTCTGGTAAGTGTCTACAAAGTTTGTTCAAATAAAAGCCATGGGGTCAAAACTGGCCCCGCCCCAGGGGTGTCATTGTTTTTAACTATATGTGTATAGTAAAAACTTAAAAAATCTTCTTTTAAAAAACCCAATGAGCTAGAGCTTAGATGTTTAGCATGAAACATCTTCTTATGGGTGTGTACCAAGTTTGTTTAAAAAAAAAAGTCTTGGTATAAAAATTGGCCCTTCCGGGGGTGGGGGAGCAGACGTCATTGTTTTTCATTATATGTGTGTAGTAAAAAACTTAACATCATGAAACATCTTCTAATGGGTGTCTTCCAAGTTCATCAAATGAAAGCTCATGGGTTTAAACTGGCCCCACCCGAGGGGCCTATATACAGGTGAGCAACCTCACGGCCATCATGGCCCTCTTGTTGGTAGCTTTGTATGTATTTTTGACTCTCCGAATGGAGGTGAAAAAGTTAAAAAACAAGCTTTAACAGTTGGCGCCAAACAAGTAAGAAACTTTGGATACATTTTGTGGAAAAACTAAATGGTATGACAGTCACTTTATTTTTCATTTTTAAAAATTCCATTGATTGCACTGTGTGTTAGTGATATTTTTTAAGGAATCGGGCGGATTCTGGAGTATGCTGCACACTTCATATTGGTATATTTTAGGTGTAATTTTGGCTGGGTTGGGGTAAATATAAATTGCTTTCAGTCATTATTTTAGGAGCAATGCATGCAAACTATTATTTTCTTTAATTGTATGTCATATATTCTTGAATAATGCTGTGCAACTGGTTATCTGCCAGTGTAATAGATTTTGAAATGTTTGGAATTATGTTTTTGGCCACACCGAACTAAAGATGTTCATTTTTAGGTCCCCTGACCCCTTTATCCCGAGAAATGAAGTTGGAAACGCGTTCCCCACTACATAGATGGATGTAGGTGACGGAAAATCCCATGGCGGAGTTTGTAATAGATTTTATGGAAACTGTGATTTTTCGTAACCTTAACCAGGATATGTTATATTATATATAGTCAAAATATCTTTATTAATTCACTGTTCTTTATCACGTTATAGACCTATCATTTTCTTTATTGTACATGTAAAATGTAAGTTATAGATATGTACATATGTTACAATAAAATATATAAGTTCTTTTTGTATCGTATATGTGCAACAGTGTTGTTGTTTCTTTGGTTTGTGGAAAGAAATTTAGGACATAAATGTTCTGTTCATACGTCCTTGTTATATGTTGGTTTTACTTATAACATAAAGTTGGTTGTAAATGATTCGGAAAACTTAATGTTATAATACCATTATCAGATTATTTTATTCCATAATGGTGCTTCACAGTTAAATAATCTGCTTGAAGTGAGATAATCTCTTGTTGGGTACTTTCAACCATACAGAGTAAAGACTTTAATTGTATTACTTCAAGCACAGAAAACCGACATTTTTTACCATAGCCGGACAGATTCATGAATTCCTGATATGAAATTTGCTATGTCTGTGTGTGAGGACTAAAGATTCTTATTCCCGACTCTAACTTCTCGTAGGTTCCATCGAAACATTCATCTCTAAAAAATCGGTTGGTTCGAGTGTTTCTCAATACACGTTTTGTGCGTTCAAGAGTTTTCTTATACAAATATTGCGGGTTCTAGTGTTTCCCAATACAAGTTTTGTTGGTTCGAGTGTTTCCCAATAAAAGTATTGTGGGTTTGAGTGTTTTCCAAATACAAGTATTGTGGGTTCCAATGTTTCCCAATACAAGTATTGCAGGTTTAAGTGTTTCCCGATTAAAGTAATGTCGGTTTAAGTGTTTCCCGATTAAAGTAATGTCGGTTTAATGTTTCCCGATTCAAGTAATGTAGCTGTAAGTGTTTTCCGATTCAAGTAATGTAGGTTTAAGTGTTTCCCGATTCCAGTTTTGTAGGTTTAAGTGTTTCCCGATTCAAGTAATGTAGGTTTAAGTGTTTTCCGATTCAGGTTCTGTAGGTTTAAGTGTTTCCCGATTCAAGTAATGTAGGCTCAAGTGTTTCCCGGTTCAAGTAATGTAGGTTTAAGTGTTTTCCGATTCAAGTAATGTAGGTTTAAGTGTTTTCCGATTCAGGTTCTGTAGGTTTAAGTGTTTCCCGATTCAAGTTATGTAGGTTCAAGTGTTTCCCGATTCAAGTAATGTAGGCTCAAGTGTTTCCCGATTCAAGTAATGTAGGTTTAAGTGTTTCCCGATTCAAGTAATGTAGGTTTAAGTGTTTTCCGATTCAGGTTCTGTAGGTTTAAGTGTTTCCCGATTCAAGTAATGTAGGTTCAAGTGTTTCCCGATTCAAGTAATGTAGGTTTAAGTGTTTTCCGATTCAAGTAATGTAGGTTTAAGTGTTTTCCGATTCAAGTTTTGTGGGTTCGAGTCTTACTGTGGCCACGATCATCTTACAGTATAGGACAACATAACTGATAAATCCATCAAGCAGACAAAATCAAATTGATCAATTTAGTTGAGCTTACAGACATTTTTAAATCAACTATATGAATGGAGCTAAAACAAATAACTCCTAAAACAAATAACTCAGAATACAGCAAAGTGTTCTTGAAAATCATCATTTATTGTGTAACAATAACAATCATCCGTACAAGAACAGTAGAGAAAATCAATTGCTGTTGATGAAAACTTTGAAAGACATCGAAGTATGCACAGATGGGAAGGATATCCTGAAAGTATAGAATGTGTTGATTAATTAGGTGAATCATCTAAAATATTTGTTAACTATTACCATACTTGTATTCGAATTCTGTTTGAGTTCCCTCCCTTCAACTGTCAGTAACCAAAAGTTCGTGTTACCTTAAATATCGAGTCCTCATAAAACTCTCCTGATGTATGTAGAATAAAAAGCTTAAATGACCGAGAGCTAAGGCATCTGACTATAAAACTCTTATTTTTTGACCAACGTAATTCAGGACCCATATAGAAGATAAAACGACTATCAATAAAATTACGGAAAATTAAAAGTTTCGTGGGCATATTGTTAAACATGAGAATTGTAGTTCACACCAAAAAGGGGGCTAGGGAAAGCTGTATCTTGTCTTTGCTTAGCTCCAAGTGAACTAATGGTCAAAATAAATTTCAAAAGAAATGATTAATCCTGGCATACAGATAAGCACGTAAACTGCCGGGAAATATGGTATAATATGCAAATAAAAAAAGTATGGCAGTTGAGATTGGCACTAAGTATGAACGGACACGATATGCAAAGTTGACCCGTTAATCACGAAATTACACGAGGTTGTCGAGGACATAAAGAACACGTAATGGGAAAGAAAGCTGATACACGTAACTATTTATTTTAAACAAGAACGCTTGATTGCATGGGGATTGTCATTATTATTAATTATCAAAACTATTGGTTAAACGTTGATTTGACACCAAACAGGAGCAGTTGGTTACATAGATGGAAGACATTAAGTGAGTATCTAAAACTTGCATTGCATTGACATTAAAAGACAATCGTTCCTGTATAAGAAACACTGATCTTGCCTGTAGAGAAAAACGTTATTAAATGAAAAGTTGCAGCCTTGGAACATTTTATTGCTATGAGTGTCGAAACTTACATTAATGTTAATTATGCATTTACATAGTAAGATAATATCAAACAAAAACATATAGTACATGTTTGGTTCACATTTACACACATGCTTTGAGCAAAGTATTTACGTTATGTAGCCTCTATCGCCTTACTGTGCTTCTTGTTTTGTATTGCATAGATGTTTAATGAGAGTCCGCCCTTTCAGGCACCGAGACCCAATAGAGGGGTATAAAAGATACAATTCAAATATATACCTTAATCATCCCATCCTCCAAAAGAATCGCTTTCATATCCACCATTATTGTATCCACCATTACCGTATCCTCTATAAGAGTCACTGTCGTATCCGTCATCATAATCATTACCGTATCTTCCATTCAACCTGACATTGAAACCATTGTTGTTTCTCCCATTAAAGGTTCTGTCGTATCTGTCATCAAAACCATCGTTGGATCTTCCATTAAAGTCGTTGTCGTATCTGTTATCAGAGTCCCTATCATTGTCATCAAACCTATTGCGACTATTGCCATATCCTCCTTCAAATCGTGACTGGAATCCGCCTACAAAATCGTTGTCATAGCTATCATCACGGTCATCATTCCAACCGTTATTTAAGCTGTGACCAATGCTATTGTAAGGCTCATATTGGGCTGTCACGGTCGACACCATGCACACAATGAAAACTGTGACAAGCATTCTTAAATGTCTGAAAATGAAAAAAAGTTAAATACATAGTTTAACAGTAAACACATACAATGTATCTTCTTACACTATTGGTGGCATAGATTAAAGGGCGTAATACTATCATGATTTAATATCGATAATGTGGAACCTCCGTCATATACTGTATCAACTTTATTTTGAAAACATCTAGAAACTTGTTTTTTTTTTCATCTTAAAAAAGGGGAGACCCATTGGAATCAACGAAAACAACACAATTATATAAAGAATGCTGACATGGTTTGATTGAGTCCGTTCAAGAAGGATAAATCACTAGCACCGGTTTAAGTGGTATTCAAACTTCAACGGTAGATGTGTTAGAATCAATGATCCCATAAAGCAACACTCTCAGAAGTTATGGAAACAATTTTGGAAAAAAATACATGAAAATTGTAGACTCGGTTTGATTGAGTCTGTTCATAGGGGATAACGGAAAAGTGCAATATCCTTCATTTTATACAAATGACTTATAATATATAAACAAAATAAATGTTCCGGAATAAAATATTCAGATGCTATAGAAATAATATATGCAAAACGGAAATTTATTCTATCAATTTAAATATTTTAGTATGTTTTTCATAAATACGCAAACGAAATTAATAATAATTGTAATTTATGACATATAGCTATAAACCATAGAAAAAATATAATTTAATTTTGCATAAATATCACCAAATCATGCAATACTACTTATGTACGTTTGGAGAAACTCGTATTTGATGAGATGCTTATGAATAAAGTATAAATAAATTATGAACGCTTCGCATTCGAGTGAAAATATAGCATTCGGCAATTTTCTCGAAAGAATGTAATTTGACGTTAATCTGAAACAAAAACGAAACACACATGCTCTGTTAATACATATAAAGAAACATTCAATAAGGTAAAATCTTTCATTTAGGTTATAAAGGTTATCAATTTATTCTAAATAAGATTGAATTAAGCAATATTTAACAACTTACCGAACAAAGTCTCAGTCATTCAGGGTCTAGCAAAATTATCCATTTATCAAATGTTCTTATATAACCATTTCAATACTTCATATGTTAATTATAAATCTATGACGCATTACAAGATCAAACGTGATCTGACGTATCAACGGAAGGTCAGAAATTATAAAAGGAGGCATTCATCAATAATCATGACTCTGCTTTTCCAAGTTCTTGGTATAATTTAGGAAGGAATGATAATTAAAGTTTAAATTCCTAACTCGCCCACACGTTATGAATAGACTATCGATTGATGGGTGATTTATAAAATTATATGCATAAACGATTGTTATATAACAAAACGGTGCATCGATCTATATTTAACCAGCTAATGTGATGAACTTTCAAACAGACGTATTTTAATGTTGCAACAGGTGACCTGTCTCATTGAACTTTAAAACAAGACATTGAACCTAGGACAATCACACCTTTTCCTCTAAAATGCAATTTTGTTCATCTTTTATTTTTAATGAATTTATGTATGGTTAATTTTGGTTATTGAAAAAGTCTACTTAGCGGTAGGGATGTTGCAGTTTTCATTGTCCCTCATGTACAGACTAAGTCAAAGCGAGTCTGCATTTTTTTCATGTAATTTTGTTGTGAATAATGCTTCCGAGGGATCACTTCGTTTCCAGATTTTGAAATTTGAATTAAAGATGATTTTTTTGCGTGTATTAAAGGCGAAAAAAATTATACGCAACGAACATGAAACTAGCTTTCGCCCAACGAAGGCATATATATATATATATAACCTTGTTAAATGATGCTATGTAAAGAAGTGCCTGAAATGAGGAAACACAGTCACATACACATCAGAATGGCGCCGACGGGACTCGAACCACGGGAACGTGTTGTGGAAAACATTATTGTGCTCTGATTAATTAATTTAAACGTAATGAATATACCGGTGGTCGCTTTAATAGCATATGCTCTTAATTATAGAATAGTAAACATTTATAGATAAATGAAATATTATGACAACAAAGTCATTATATGTTCATTCTTTCGCATTTTTATGATAAAGATACATAAACTTAGTAATAACAAAATTTCAAGACTGGGGCAAGCTCATGTTAAAAATGGTTAGACTTTTATCTATTCGTTTTAAAAAGACGTAAAATATAAGAAGACATTCAAATAGTGTCGCTCCAATAATGAAAAAACTCAGTAACCGGTCAATTAAGTCCGCAAAAGTCGATTACGCAATACACAGGGTAAAAATGCGCAGTTATTCTATAACAGTAGCCCTGTTCGAACTATTTATAAATGCGTATGCTGACGACACGGGTGGTCTTAGGTTTCCGGCACTTGCATTGCTAACGACAATCAGAGTAGACTGCACTATAGTTGAACATAAATTTCCTTGTTCTTTTTCTTCAGTCTTTTTTTTTAAAAAAAAATGCTATTGCACATTTATAAGTTTAAACCGTTCAAATTTTTTCTTTTTACCACGAATATCATTTCATTTATTTGAAAATGGCTGTTCGACAAAGTTGTAATTAGCATAAATTAGCATTGGGCTGATTTGCTATGCAAAAGTACAATGTAAGTACAATAACAAGGACCGGGACAATGTTATGATAAAGACATTGTGAAAACACGATTAAATATGTTCGAGGATAGTCCACAAGTCAAAGTAATGGCGTTTGTGCTAATATATTCATCAGTTAAATGAATGTTCAATATCATTCAAATGCTACTTATAATGGTAATATAAGTAATGTTGAACTATGCGTTAATTACTCAAATGCTGTTGTATTTCGTCATACGTATAAACTCGTTCATTTCAAAGCAAAACCGGCTGCTAATCTATGTTTAGGCCTATCTATAAATTTTTTCTCAACATACTTAAATCTTAAAAAGCCTTTTCTTCTAGTGTTTCCGAAGGCCAATCAATGTCAAACTATAACATTTTGTTAACATCTATTTTATTTTTCGAAAAGGAATATCTTTCAAACATTTTTTTTGTGTTTCTGAAGAAGGTCAATCAATGTCAAACTATAATGTCTTTAACACATCTATTTCATGACAAAAAAATCTTTGTAACTTTACAAAGTAAGTCCAACAATGTCAAACTATAACATTTTATATACATCTATTTATTGACATAAAATATTGAAACTTTATGAAGAAGGTCAATCAATGTCAAACTATAACATCTTTGTATATCTATTTCTTGACATAAACTATCTGTGTAACCTTATCTTATTTCTGTGTGTTTCCGAGAAAGTCAATCAATGTCAAACTATACCATTTTATATACAGCCGTTTTTCGACAAATTTCATCCTACATGCAATTACGTTTGATACACGGTTCATTGAATATATAAGGTGTTTAGAATAAAGTATACCATGTATACACGAAATGGATCTCATGAATACTCAAATGCTGTTGTATTTCGTCATACGTATAAACTCGTTCATTTCAAAGCAAAACCGGCTGCTAATCTATGCTTAGGCCTATCAAAAATTAGGCAAATTAGGCCTGCAAAAATATGAACTTCTGACAGTGTAGCAATACCACGTGACATTGACGTCATTTTCGGCCACATTTCCAAGACAAATAGTGCATGATTCGGAAAAGAAAATAGGCCGTAAATATTTTATTTCTGTACCAATTTCTTTGGGATATGCACCAGTCTACGGGGGAAAAAATATAAGCTTTCTACAGAATATTGGATCTTTGTCAGTTTATAAGCCGTTTTATCAAACACTTTGCATAACCTTGGAAGTTGCTTGTATTAGAGCGGGCTTCAGTTGCAAGCTATTTCGTTTTCTGGCGTTATTTGGTCTACGCCATGATTAAAAAGTCAGGTTTACATCAACCGGGGGTACAGACAGCAAAATCCTACCTTAATATGTTTATATGTTTATTATTTATGGCGTAAATCTTGCCTTTTTCTTCAATTGTCAATTCTGACACCAGTTCGATCCAAGTCGAAAAAAAGGACTACAGTTTAAAGCAGATTTTGGAATCCGTTGCAAATGCAAAGCAACATGACTACCATTCTCTTTCTAAAATTATGTTAACCATGAAAAACATTTTATTTACTATACGATTTACATAAACACAAATGAATATTTAAATGATTTTTACTCGCTGCGCTATAAGTGATTTTAAAAGTCGTAAAAATTGTTGTCTGCATTTGTAAAGAAATTGATTTGCTCTTTAATCATTGTTCTTACACGGAAATGATTATGAAAAATCTATTAGTGTCATGTAGTAATACTAAACGTGGAATATTCAAGAAAACAGAAACCCTAAATATCGCAAAAAAACGGCAAAATAGAAAATGTTGCAGGCTCAGTTTGACTTAGCTAGCCTGTCCAATGAACGTGCACATTCAGGATCACTTCCATTTGTATGCTGTGAAAAGGGTTACGCCTCAACGCGGCAATTTTAAAGTCAAATGTTATTCTTTTCAAAAGAGTTACTTATACGTATAACCTTATATATACTTGGTAAAGAACCTGTAGCAATGTAATAGTATGGTAGATTCAGCTTTTTAACACAGTGGCACTCGTTGATAAAAAATTACATCCTGTTTTCATACCCACGGTAACCGTTTTTCGTGAACTGGATATAAGTTCGTTCACTTAAGAGCACTAAACACTATTTATTTTATTATTGCATTTATTTATGTTGATTAACTGCATATCTGACAAATTTAGTTAATTATATCAGTCAACTCAGCTTTATCAGAGAGCTCACCAATACATATTGTAAAGAGAGGAAGGGAACGGAATATTTATGGTTTGAAAACATTTAAATAGAGTAGAATTTTTAACAATAATGTCTCTTTCAACTAAATAATAACGATAGGGCTATTTGGGACTATTTCTTATCGATGTGGTCATTGGCTGTAAATGCATGGATTATTGCGCGCGGCATGACCTGCAGATGTCCTCAACAGGATTTTTGTGGCATTTTAAGATTTAAAAAAGGACTACATATTAAAATCTAAAACATGATAAACATAATGTATTTGCCAAATAAGTGAATTATCTGATATGTAAATAAAGATTTGCTACATGCAACATTTTCGCGAATACAAACATTCGCGGAAATGTATTCAACGCGAAAAGCGCTATTTTAATAAGCGCGAAATTATTTCTAGGAATACAGTATTGCCTAATCAATACCAAGAGCAAAATCAAATGTCAGACATCATAGATGATCATAGATGAACGAAAGTAGAAAATAAACTACAAAATTAAATTGCATAGATAATTCAGTAATAAATAAGACTACAGAAAAAAAAACTTTACATAAATTCCATGATCAAAAGGAAAAATAGATCTCAAACAAGAAACAGTACAAAAAAACAAGACTCTTGTTGTTGAAAAGGGTGACAAATTTTTGGAATGAAGATACAGTAACTACGAACGTTGTTAAAAATTGAGAGATGACAAGAAATATAGTTATCTAAGATCTTAGAGTAAAGGTTACTTTTTCCAACTCCTAATTATCAAAGGTATATATCTAACTATTAAAATTTAGTTCAAATAGTAACACTTACTAGTATATAGATGGTGATACGAAACTTTTATTTGAAGTAAATCCTTAATTAAAAAAATAAAAATGCTGCAAAACAACAATTTTCCACCAAAATTAGGTGAACGGCCACGTGTTAACATGGAGAAACTAGATTTTGGATAAATTAAAGGTTTTTCATCCTTTTTTTGTTAACCCTTTACCTCATATAGACGTGTTTTGACGGCTTTTCGACCCCTCCCCTTTTTGAGGCCTCAAACAGAAAAAAACTACCCTATTTAGGCCCTAAACAATGATTTTCGTTTGAGAAATGTTTTTAAAAGTAATCACTTTTTTCGGCGCCGTCCTCCCTCAAAAAGGTACAACAGTCTACATTTGTGCCAAGTTTCATCAGTAGTGAAGCATTTTTCATAGTTTCATAGCAGTTTGAACTTGTAACAGGAGGCTTTTCAATGAAAACGGCCATTTCTCACAATATGCTAATGACGTAAAGGGTTAAGAAAAGAAGAAGATATAAAACTTTTTGTTGTCACGGACACATATATGGTAGATCTCTTAGTGTAATCATAGGGAAACATATACAACAAATGTGATAATGAAAAAATATCGAACCTTTAACAGCGTACAGTTATTTCATCGCACCAAAACCCAGCGTACACTTAAATATTTTGACCAGTAAGCGTCTATGAATATCGGAGCACGAAGGTACTTGCTATGCAACTCAATTATGATAAGCCTTATAGAATAAAGAAGAAAAAGAAATTAACTATATTTATATAAACTTGCTTTTAGCGATTTCATTCACCGACACAAAATCAATTGCCGTCAGTTTACCTTCAATAACTTTTTTAATTATAAATTTAAGCATCTGTAATTTTGATGAAATGTGTGTCGGTCCTATCTTTACATCTTCAATACAAATTATGCAATTGTAATCGAAGATTTATGAAATAATTAATAAAATACACTCACTATGACGTGTGTTTACGATTAATACCGCAATTAGTCCGTATCGCATGATTTCGCCTCGCTTAAAGGAGTATCGCACCGCTATACGTTCGACCCCCTGTGACTGTCCGTGTTAAGATAACAAACGTGACAAAAACTATGAGGAATGAAATGAGTTTTTTCCGCACATGCTTAAAGAAAATGTTTGGCCTTGCTAATATCTTTGCAGAACCAACTGACTTTGTATAAGTATGTGTATTTTTCTTTTCGGCCGAATGCCGTCTAAAATTAGTTTGACTACCTGTACAATTTACAGGGAAGAACTCATTATTAACAATTTTCATTGATCATTTTTAAATTACAAACTAATATAAATCAAAGAATCTCATGGGTCATTCTAAAATAATATGTAAAGGATAGTTCTTGCCATTTTTAAATATTTTTTAGGATTGTTCTTATGAATAAAATATAAAGGATTGTTATTGCCATTATTAAATAAAACTCAAATAAAATGTTAACTTTCTGGTCATATTGCTCAACTGTTAAATCATACTTCCTTCCACAAAACATTTCCAATGCGTTTAGATCTCATTTCATTTTCTAGTCAACAGTTTATTTTACACAAGAACTTAAATGTTGTCGAAATATCGAGACTACCAATAACGTTCATGCTCATGCATATGGAAATAATAATAATAATAATAAAAAATCCGAACTTAGCAGGTACCGTCAGTTTTTGAAGTTCAATAAGTATAAAATATATTATATTATCATTGATGAATTACTCTTTATGAATAATATATTTGTATATAATTTTTGCATAAACTTTTGCATATTAATCAAATATTTATAAATATAATTGCCTACTGTCTGCGCAGATGTTGTGTTAAAAAATGAGTTCACTTTCCAAAACACGACAGGTTTATTTAGGAACACATACATGTTAAAGTGTTCCATTTTACAAGGTTAATAGCCCTATTGATTATTCTGTCAATTGTGACAAAAATAGTTTTACATAAATAAGATAACTTACTTTTTTCTGATTCAGTGTTTTTCAGTATTTCCCTCTGCACGCGTTTTCAAACGTTTTGATTAAACGTTAATTGTTAAACTAATTGTTTTTTTTTAATCTAAACTGACATTCAGTATAAAAATTAAACAATTTAAATTCAGAGTTTAAATTTCTATTTCTATGTGGAGTTTAAATTTGGCTTCAGACCCCCAATATTTCAGTCAATTAATGTGGTGGGTTGGGTTAGGAACCACTTTTAGGTCTATATCTATTTGTCACAATTGTTTTTGTTTTTGAACCCATGCCGGTTAAGTTTTTACAGTGTGTAATATATTCCTCTTTTATCAAGGCTGTTTGCATCAAATTAAAGGTTAAACATACTATCTATTATCCTTTTATTTCTCCATGATATGATTTATAATGTCAAACTTAGAAACAAGAAATAGGGACACCTAAATCAATACTGTAAAATAAAAGTTGTCCTACTTTGCTTTGAAGACACATCAATATCAATATGTTTTTAATTAATTGTCCATGTTTTAAAAAAGAAATTCTTAGCTATAAGAAATTATTATGTCATTGTTATGCAAGCATTGTCAGCGTTTTTATATGTACGGAAAACTTATTTTAACATAATTATGCAAGTTAACCAGTTTAACCAGTTTCTTTTTTAACGATACTTCTTGTTTAAAATGGCTCTTGGCAATGGGCGTCGACTACAATGGATGACGAATGCGCTCATGTTAGAAAATGTTGACATTTTCTATTGTATATTGTGGCTAGATGCACAAGAACAATATGCTCGTGAAAATGAATAAAAGGAAATAATTTGAAGCCTTTATTTATTTCCAACTACATACATAGCTGTTTTTTTTTAAAACAAATTTAGTTGTACTGTTGTTCAGTTTCGTTCTTGAGTCTCCTAATATTTAGTGTTTTTATTCGTTTTTATGTCGGATTTCAAAATCCTAAAGGGACATGATGGAACTGGAAATATTTTTTCAAGATTATTGTTCCATTCGATATAGATATAGACCAAAACCCTGTGTGCGTGCAAAATTTCAAATCGTTGGCTTACTCCGCTTTTCCATAAAAATTTTCTGATTGTGAATAATGACGTAAAATTGAAAAGCGTTGCAATGCTTTTTACTCCAAGAATAGAACACAAATACGATTTTCAATTTATTTCTAAGAAAATTTCCTAATTATCTATCTCCTGTCTTTCTGTCTTAAGTGACCTATAGCTGAGCTATGTACGTATTTTTATATGTTATTATGTGGACGTCAGTGGAGTTCCTTTAAGTAAGTTATAATTTATTGTTATCATGCACGTAACTATACCTTACCTGTATTATTGCCTTCACTTATTTGGCATGACTTCAAAAGTTTGTAAGCATTTCAGATATTGTTTTAGATTTTGTAAGATCGATTAAGAGATCGTAATATCGAAAAATCAGCCAATTACAGTGCTACAGTGGTGTAACTGTTTGTATATACATGTACACTGTCACAGTCGTAGAGGAGAGAACAATTTTAAGTACAGTGGCTAGATATATTAGACTTGAATCAGATTTACCATTCCCATGAAGATGAATTACCCCAATATTTTTTGCTAAACAATCATTAATTCAAATTTTGAAAATAAGTTCCTTTCTTCATTCAAAAGACATTTCTTACAACAATGTATTTCTTATTTTAGCTGGAAAGAACGACAGTGCTTTTGATACGAGAATTTTGTAATTTGATATTGAAGTTGGGATGGATGCGGGAGAAGATTTCGTTGACTTTTTATAATATTGATATATAAATATATTTGTAAGTTTTTAAAAATCGACATTTTATTCCATTTATTAATAACAAATATACAATATTATTTATAATAATCATTAACAAGAATAATAAAATGCACGATTTAATGTTGAAAGGATCCTAAAAACAACCAACGCTGGACGGAAATCCGGATTGATACCCTAAAATAAAAGAGAAAATAAAATCATATTTATATATGAAAATAATAATGAATTAGAAATAAAAATATATTTTGTTCAAGGTTGATAACGTTAACATGTGCTAAAATACAAGTAGATCTAAAAGAAAGAAAGCATTTGTCTTTGTAAAACACTTGAAATAGAAGAGGTTTATAAAATCAGTGCCTGAAAGGGCAACTTGGCCATCAATACATGCAAACAGACAGACAGACAGACAGACAGACGGACATGTGATATAGAAAACGTGAATCAGTCGCCACAAAAAATATGTAATTTATGCCATGATTTTATTCACAATATACTTTGTATGAACTGGTGATGGAACAGAGGATGGAAATGGAAAACTGCTGTTAACGTGTCAGGTTCTTGCTTAAAGGCAGATTATGCCTCAGAAACGAATAAAGGTTTTCTCCATTCAAAATGGAAAACATAACTTTATAGCGTTTAAATAATTGTTTTAAAGCATGTTGGATACCCATAAGGTAGCCCTAAATGTGAAATATTTGTCATAAAAGTAACAAAATGTAAACAACGGTAGTATTTTGCCTTCTATACAAATTACTAATTCACTATAACTGTACTAATTGTTGTCAAAAAAGAAACAGAAGAAAAGTTTATTCAGGCAACATGCCTTTGAAAACAACGAAGGTTCACCAAAAATAAAAAGCTTTTGAGATATGAAAATGGAAGCTTTTCTGAAGCATAATGGACCTAAAGATGAGATAAAATTGAGTTTATATTCTTTATCATTTCACATAGACTTTCATTCAACTCGTCCCTAAAATCATTAAAAGTTGTCAAGGGCCGCTATATATCTATATATCTATAGACTCGTATCTTAAAGTGTGTTTGAAATGAAGACATAATTTAGCATTTAGTCCTCCTGCAAGATTATTCTGAATATTAAAGACAAAAATCGTACTATATTTTACCTTAGTCGTCATAAAATCCACGATAAAAACGACGGCGGGGAGGATACGGAAATCTACGACGAAACCGATAATCATCATCAAACTCGAAGGATTCGAAGGAATCATCATCATCATCAAAACCACGATATCCTCTAGGGATACCATGGCGATGTCCATGACCATGGTATGATAAATGGGTCAGTCCGTGGATTGTTTGGGTCATAAGGAGGACCATGATCATAGTTATGGCAAGCATGGTTAGCTGTCTGAAAAAGAGAGCAATAACAATCGATAACAGAGCAAAATGCAATTTCTTTCAAATAAAATGAACCCCACTGACGTCCAAAAAGTCTAAAACATAAAATTCGTATTCGTAGATCAGCTAGGGCACTTAAAATAGAATATTTGTACAAGATTATTAAGAAATGTTTTTCGAAATCACATGAAAATCGTATTTTTGAGCTATTCTTATTCCGCTATGACTGAAAACCGTTCCTTTGTCACAATTAAAATAATTACTCCGGGAAAACGGAGTAAGCGGGTGATCTGAAATTATGGACACAATTCATGACAATCCGACATAAAATGAAACATTTAAAAAGTATGTCCACTCCCGTAATGTAAAATTCTCTTTAATAGTGAAAACGAGAATTTTGCAAGAAGTGTTGCAAGTTCTCAAGAAATGTAAAACAACACTTCTTTAAACAGTAGTGAAGGTCAGTGCCATTGTGTCATTTATTAATATTTAGTAAGTGAATATTGACACAATAAGTAACAATGTCGCTTAGGCTTATAATTATATTTGCAAAAACGTAGAAGTACACTTCAATGTGATATAGAAACAATTACAATAATAATACAAATACCAAAAACAGCTTACCTTGAGAGGGTTTTAACCAAGTTTTAATCAAGACCTGATCTGTGAAAGGGGTTGACACTTACTGCTTTTATACCAAAGTAACATAATTTGTATGTAAGTCATGTAGCCATTGTCTATGACGAATCCATTACCGGAACAAAATAATACATTTTCTTGGTACAGTTTGTGTAATCGTATTTAAGGTTTTGCCTAAACCTATATTTAACTTTTAGTGGTTAAGTAAAAATATATGACTGATCACAGCATATGATCGCTATTGTACAAACCAGTCAAATGTGAATAAATATCTATTCAATTTAATTTCAACATAATCCTTTTTTAGAATAAAGTAAATAAGTAATAAGAATATTAAGTTATAATTTATCAAAGTTTAAGGATGTGATTGAAAGCTTACAAAAACGTTCACAGGCACTCGTATTTCCTCATTCAATAACAATTTCTTCAGTTTTAACTTGGCTGTCATTGTGTTTATTGGACATGTTTAAACCTATATATCAGTGTTAGCCATATAACGAAAGACTTCTACAGAGCCCATGAAATATGACATTTGAATATTTTTCTTTCTTGGGTGTCAAATTTTCTTTCATTTTTTATTGATATACATGGATAATGAACGAAATAGCATTTTCGATTAAATAAAATATAAGGAGTCATAGTTTAATTCAGTAAAGCTCGAAAAATTGTCATATGATCAACACTGTGCCAACCAACCCCCTCGCCCGAAAAAAAAAAACAAACTAAAAACAAAACAAAAACCATCAAAAAACAGAAAGTCAATAACATCAACCACAAAAAACTGATGAAGGTAGTACCGAAAGCTATAAGGCTGGAAATGATTTAATTGTCACAACACAAATTAAATCAGCATTTAAAGTACTTTGGCATATGTGTTTTTGGGGAAAGAAGTTGTGATGTATTTTTATTTTACTTTCAATTATTTAAATATTTTCCCTGATTTGCATGCAAAGCTTCAATGGAGTCAGTAGGGCAATGTTTAAAGGTTAGGCCATTTCAATTTAACCGCTAATTAACACTAATTAGCTTTTATAATTAACATTAATTTAATTGCAATGAAGTCATCTATCACATATATCATTGAATCATCTTATCATTGATATGGTTGAAATTCTTATCTGATTTGCAATTTGTTTGCAAATTATTTTGATATTACTAAACGTTTTATTTATTCAAATGATCTCATTTTAATTCTGATCGTCACAATGATTGAATCAAAAATCATTTTCATAGGCGAGGAAGTGAAAATATAGAATTTTATATCGGTTTGAATAAATTAATTCTTGATCTGTTCACAAAATATTATTATTTTTATAGTTTGCCAAAATGTCGTTGTATTTTGTAACTTTATAACAATCTGCTATTTTATGTCTTATTAATATTCATTTTGAATGAGATGTACATAATGTTTATACTTTTCATATTATTATTGTATTATTATTATTACTATTACGAAAAGTGCAACTTAAGTCTACTATTGCATTGCTTTGAAGTTGCATGAAGAGTTAAAATGAGATCGCAACCATTTACTATCAAAAGTTTCTTTTAACGGTTTCTGTTTTTCAGATATCAAAAGAGTCGGCTCCTCAGACTCAAGGCAGTAAAAACCTATCCATTCTTACTAAATCAAAGGCACTGAATGTATTTATCATCATTTATTGCAACATCTTTGTTGAAATCACATGATAAGTTTCTTATTGTGAGCTATTTGTGTTTACTATTTCTTTTGTCCATGGACCCGGATTTTATCAATTAATCCCTTCGATTTACAGCTAAAAATAAATTCTGTTTCAATAGCTCCTTTCGATTATTATATTGGTTCCCCCTTCGGTGATTCGCAGCATGTCATATTAATGAATGTGAACCGGAATGCAGTTCTGCTGTACATGAATTCGAATCACTGACACAGATAAAGCTGCATTTTGAGCCTGTACGTGTAGCCAGCCCGGCTTATCTCAATCGGTTAGAGCGCGAGACTTGTTATCTCGACATTGCGGGTTCGATTCCCGGGCTGGCTAACTAAAATAACTAATCAGTCTTTCGGATGAAAATTTAAATCGAGGTCCCGAGTATGGGTGCTTGAACACTTGGCACGCTAAAGAACCAGGAGAAGCTTCTGGAATTGGGACATCTTTCTGTATCTGTAATTGCACTATCCTCCAAAAATCTAAAATGACTAATACTCGTCTGGAGGACTCGACCATATGGGCAACCTTTGGCGAGTACAAATAAAGGCAAATACAAACACACAGCATCATCGGTAATGCACGGAGGTAAATTATCAACTTTTTGTGCTTGGTGACATGTCCGGGGTCCGTACTCGACAGCGAAAGCTGCATTTTGTGCCCGTACGGGCGGATGGACCCACATTAAGCATATACTATAGATAGATAGATTGCATCATTGGTAACAACTGAAATTTTAATCAGCAGTTTGAACATGAGGTGTATGTTTTTTTTATGAAAGGTTTTACAGCAATTTAGCAAAAAAGTATATTGATCTCCCAATAAATGAAGTATCAATAGCTTTTATTATATCACCAATGTCAAGTAGCTTTTATATCTTTGACTCGCACGAACATGATGTTAGTGAATTTCCTCATACCTGCCTAAAATTCAGGTAACAGTCTTCTATCAGTATTTAAAGAAACCATTTTTTTAAATTTGATATAAAAAAATGCATGTAACATTACTATATTATGATATTAGTCCCTTTTGTTACTATTTGTATATTTGTTACAATTATAATAATAAAAAACAGACTTTGATATTTTTATCATCTTATGTAACACAGTACAGTCATGTCAAATAACATTTACAAGTCTTGTTTGTATTCAATCCTTACCAGGTAGGCATCAGTGAGAGCTTTTTTTTTTCAAATTGAATATCTGGCCATAGACAGTGCATAAGATATGTATAGTTATGCAAAAAAAAAGGTTTACAAAACATTCGGAAAAAAATATACAATAGTACTTAATCTGAATATAACATGACCTGTGCGTAGGAATAATTTGGTAGGGTATCTATAATGAGCGCGTTTTTTTTTGCGCGGAGCTTCTCAATTGCTGCATTGCAGCAACATTTGTACTTGTTGCTTGTTGGTCTTCGTACTATTATATACTCGTATGTGAAAAATACCAAACTGTACAATGTTTAATATGTATCAATACTAATAATGCAATTCATATATCATGTATATTACCCATATCAAGTTTAATGCTTGAAATGACTTTTTATTATCCAATAGGATTGCAGTATTTCAAATAAATCGTAACATATTCAACACATTCGCTAGATTGGTAAATCGGTTAATGTTAATCAATCTAGTAAATTAACTAGTTTTGAAAATAATTTAATTTCAATAACTTAATCAGTCAGTGTTCATTGTTAAGCATTTACAACACTTATCTATTCGGATGCAATGCAATACGATACAAAAAGGACAAGATTTCAAGCAGAGATAATTTAGATATTTAAATATGGATAGATATATATTAACCCTTAACAAAGTCATGTAATAAACATTGGTTGATATTTATATAATGTCCGTGATATATGTTGACACATAACATTATAAAGTGCATTTTGATAAGTTAATCATCTTAGGTTTTATCCCAGAAATATTACCGTGCTATTGACGTCATGTGCAAATCAACATATTCAAATTATATTATGCTCTTTATTACCAAATGTAGGAAAAATAATTAATTTCTTCAAGATTTATAGCAAAGAGAACAATAATTAATCTATAACAGTGAGTAACATACTTCAACTTCTGAAGTTGAATAACATACGAAACTATATGCTTTTGCTTTTATTTTGATACCATAATACGCCATGAAATTGATAGTACATGCACAAGAAATATCCAAGATTTTTTTAAACATTACATCATAAATAAGGACAATCCTGTTTGCTTCTCTTTGTAATATCAATCATCAATGTAAAGCGGTGAACACTGGTATTTACTGGTTCTAGCCCGTTAGTGTTGAATATTGAATACTGCTTAAGCCGGTCCTGGGGGTGTGAGATGTGTTGTACTTAATATATCAGCTGTCGTGAACAGCCTCAATCAAACCAAATCTGCAATTTTCAAATAACATTGCTGTTTTCATTCCATGAGAAAAGTTGTTTGCTCAAGGAAACAACGGCTTGCTCCATACGGGGTTTGAGCTCACGTGGCTAGCGATCCTTAGATAACTTACTAGCTCCACGTGTTAACCACTCGGCCATGTCGCTATTATATAATTGTTTCTTGGCATGACTTTTGTATAGCTTTTCTTTGTTTGTTGTCATAACTTATCTTATTAAATAAGTTAATTATTTATTAAAGTGACATGTTTACATACAGTATAAACATATTCAAATGTTTAAATCAAAGAACTAAAACACTCGGCTCCATTGGTCTATATGTCACAATATTTTCATACAGTTCTAAATTATAGTAATATGAGTTCAATTTAAATACATGGACCATGTCCGTAAAATAACATATTTTGTTATCTTTATAAAGTAAGATATTAGACTTAAGCAAACGAATCTATGTCTAATTCGTGGCTTTTAAAATTGGGAAAAGAGAAATACACGTACGATATTATTACGTATTATATAAATTTTTCTCTGTAGAAAATGCTATGAACGTATTAAGCTTCGCCAGTACATAAAAGCTTTCACGATGGATTTTGCTGTTTTTTCTAACATTTTCATATCATATAAGATTAGGTATATTTATACATATTAGATTGATCTAACAATAATTCACCGAACACTTGCTGTGTTATAATTTATTTCTTGTGTATTTTAGGAAGAAAGATATTTCATTTTCTATTTATTCGTGGTAAAAATGTACACATTCTCAGGTTTACGTGTTAGAACGTCCTGTTTCGATTCCGTAACTGTGCTGAGCGTTAATACTTTTCTAAATTTATCTTTATATACTGTCCGGTTTCAGAATTTGTTTGAAATAGTCTGTTGTTCTTAGTTTTGAGCTACTTTGCACTCTTGTATGCCATTGTTTGGGAAAAAAGAATAAATATTTGTTGGATTTTACGTCGCATCAACACAGTATATGTCATAGGGCGACTGTCCAGTTTTACTAGTGGAGCAAGACCTGATGTGCCCCTCCGTTCATTATTTCAGAC